AAAAAAAAAAAAAAAACGGGAATAAGCGAATCCTGTGCCGGTCGACCTTGTCCTTGACGCAGGTGAAAGTGGAACCAGGGGGCCCTTTTTGGACCCATCTTATAAATAAGGGCATGCAGCCGTGAAATTCCAGCCGAAACACTTTTTCCGGCATCGTCCTCGTGTGTGCGTCTTTCTTCCCAGCCGAATCGTGAGTCCCTCGCCCGTTTTCTGCCTTTATCTATGTCTTAAATAGGGGAGCGAATCGATTTTATTTATGAAAGATGGAGTGCATTTGTTTCACGACTCCGATAGAGGCAAACGTGTAATGAAGTCCTGATGTTGCTTATCGCTCCCCGTTCGCCCATTTGATCGTTCCCTCGCAGAATTGAAAGGGTGACGTGTACATTTGGAGCTCATCCATCACGAGCTTCCGAGCATTGATTTCTCTTTATGAAGTTTTTTTTTTTTGTTCTGGCAGATGAGGGGTCTAGCTTACTTTTGCATCCTGGGATTCCTGGGCCTCCTGCTGCTGATCATCATCGTGGCAGGGGAAGGACCCGTGGAGTTGAAGAAGGGGAACGTGACGTTGGAACCGAGACCCTTCCAGATGCCGATGCCGATGGCCAGGCCCATGGCGAGGCCCTTGCCCCTCTTGCCTTTCTTCTTTCAATCCTCGCAGGCGGGAGACTTCACTCCCGCCGCACCCCGAGCGGCAGAGACGGGGACCGGCCTTCTCAGCCTCCTCAGCCCGATCACTTGGGTCACGCTGATCCTCGGCGGGGTGTTCGGGGCCGCCCTCCTCCCCTGGATTCAAACTCTCCTCCCGGGGATCCCAGGCCTCCTCGCGGGGATTCCACTCGGGCGCTCGGACGCCGTCAATTACACCTTGGCAAACGCCACTGCCAGGGCCGAGAACTCGACGGCAGGGTTCGGCCTGCCGTCCTTCGATCCCGCCAGGATGTTGTCCGACTCTCGAACCTTGGATTTCGCCAATCTGGCCCTTGGGGCTGTGATGGGGGACAAGGAATGTCTGAAAAGGGCTTTCTGCGAATCCGGACGCTTCCTCAAGCCTATCCCAGCCAAGAACATCCTTTTCTTGTGAGCCTAGAAATTTGCATGACATATAACCAGTATGAGTGCCATTATTAATGGCTTCCTGTTTTTTTTTTTTCTACAGGCTCATGCGTCTATTGGGGCCTCAATGGTCAGACGGTATAGAGATCGCGAGGGGAAGTGCATTGGAGCTCGACCAGAAGGGATGCGAGGACCAGTTCAAATGCTTCGTCGGTCCGCTTTTCGGATGATCTAGATGCATTCTCGTCATTCATTTGACCTTTTAGCTTTATTCGAGATCCGAGTATTTTTTAAAGATATAACACAAAGGTTGTCCAGATATTTTTATCACGAATAAATACCAAAATGTAGAGAGACAAGAATGGTGACACTTGATTACACACGAGTCGAAATACTCCGGCTCCAAAGGCACAACACACAAGGAAACGACGAGAGACATTCGTCACAAATAGATGCTTCATTCCGGCAACCTGCCGTGTTTTATCAGTGAGAGACGGTTTCTTCCTCGGTGTCGTACTTGGCCAGGGCACGACGGACCCTTTCTTGGATCTCCAGAACCCATTCGGGTCGAAGGCGAAGGAGACGGGATTCGGCCGGTTTCGCCTCCGAGTCGTTCTTGTTGCTGGGAACCTTGTCTTTATTTTTGTCGCTGGGGACCAGGGGCAGGATGTCCAGAACGAGATCGACGAGTTCCACAACCTTCGAACAGACGAGATCGATAACGCATCGGTCAAAATCAACCATTCCAAAGAGAGAAATGTCACGAAAGACAGATAACTCTCTCCCCCCCCCCCCCCCGATGTAAAGGAAAAAAGTCCCAAAATAGTTCTCGTCTGACCTTGATGCCTGTGAGTGACCCAGTTCCAAGGACGGCGAGTATCGTGGCCAGTACTCCGACTGGCCCCAGCAAAGAGAGGATGAGAAGCGGAACTCCGAGGGCCACGCCTGTGCTCACGGCCAGGGCGAAGAAGTCCAGCGGGAGGAACAACAGGTTCGCCGCGATGGGGACGACGATTCCGACGATCAGGTTGGCGATCGCCATGCCGGGGACCGTTCTCGGGGTCATCTCCGACGATTCGGTCGCGTGCCTGACCGATCGACGCAAGGCATTAACGCTTTCGAAGAATTGTACATGAATGATTCCGATCGTAGCACGACAGGATCTGTGATTAGGAATTCCATTTATGTCTCACCCTTCTCGGCGGATCAACGACAGAGCAGAAAGAGGTTTCTCGTCTCCTCTCGCCTCCGAAATGAGGAAAACAACGAACAGCGAAAGAATAAGGAAGGAAACCTTGATCGCTCCCATCTCGACGCGAGTCACCAGGCGAAGCACTAATCCGACTCGACGAGATTTTGAGGCACGGGAACGCTTCCGACTGGGTGAGACGAGGCGAGTTCTTCCTCTTAGGGCATTCGCTTAACGGTCCGGCCTTTCCGGGGGTCAAAGGGGAATTCGGGTCAAAGGGGAATTCAGGTCAAAGGGGAATTCGGGTCGTAACCCTTATTTCCGCCGACGGAATTCTTCGAAAACAAGGCGGACTGGGTCGGGCTTATCCCTCGCTCTTCATCTCTTTTTGTCAATAAAGAAGTTGGGAGTCCCGAGCGGTGTTCCGTGAGACGACCGCTCCATTTTCGTACATGGCTTTGGTCGAGGCTTGGTTGGTAAAATCTGTGAATTCGCGATCATCACGAAAATAAGGCTCCCCGTCTCGTGACGAGATGGCGAGAATCGAGAGGGACATACGGCCACAGAGCGAATGGATTAACAGATGGCTCGTATATCTCAATGAGAGAAGTTCTCGGTATGGGACACGATGGCGATAAATCTCCGAATCCGTCCGATAAGGTTTTGGGAAACGAACGAGAAATGTAAGAAACCATTTCTTGGCGAGGGACTGAAAGACTTCGTCGTCTGTTCTTCCGTTGCATACGGCATCTAACCGACCCCATTCGGAGTATGAAGTCCAACTTTGGAGACCTGCAAACGAAAGCGACATAATAGCACCGGAGAGGATTCGGAGTCTGGCTCCTAAAATCCTGAAGTACTCGGTCGAGAAGACGAGCGACGTTACCACGTGCCCGGACCGAACTCTTCGGGGAAAAGGTTAACGAAGGGGGCACTCATGCAGGCACGAATCGTCATTAAGGGGATCGATAACGTGGAGCGTGGCTTTTCCTGTTCCACGATGACAGCAGGAGGAGGGGAATCGGTTCGTTACGTAAACCTCGAGGAGTTTCGATTCGTGGAATCACGATTTTAATTGTCTGCGGCGGAGGCGTAGGTGCCGCGAGGTTAGGTGCTTATAGTGGACGAAAAAAAGGAAAGGAAGTAATATAGCTGTGAGTAACCAGACGGTGGAGAGACGCACTCCCATGAACAATATTTATCTTCAGTGGAGCAGGCCGAGGTTATACGAGTTCTCCATCTCGACTTGCGACGTCAATGAGGGCATCCGTGCCTCTTCGTGTCTCGGTCAGAACCTTTTAGTTTCGGCTCGATAGCTGTCTCGGTCCTTCACAAAAATCATGACTTTTGCAGGCTCTGCTAATTTAGAAGACGACTGTCGATGGACGACCCCGGGGCGCTCGATACTTCGCGCCACTTCCGGCACATTTTCTTCCTTGCTGGCAGTATCGGTCGGCTGGCCGATGGTTTCGGTCGGCTCGTCGTTTCGGGCGAGATGATTTTTCAATATTGATCTCTGCCCGCGAGTCGGCGGAAAATCAGAATACCGGTGAAATGTTTCTGTCGTGGGAACATCACAAAATTTGTTCCGCTATATTTGCTCAGAAGTATGAATTTTTCAAAGGAAGAGTAGACCCGAGTGACCAGTAGCGGTCGATGATCATTCAAAATTGATTGGTTGCTCCGACCGCGCTATAAATAGATCCTCTTGCCCTTGGTGGGATTGTCCTTCACAACCTGCAAAGGACAAGGTTTCAAAAAATTTATCGAGACACGCTACCATGACCTGGAACGATGAAAACGTTTGAGAGGCCTCAAAGTCACCACATTGAGAAAAAAAAATCCTTCTTCGAGAGGGAAAAAAGGAAGAAGTCCCTTTGCTTCTCTCCTCGGCGTGAGAGAACGATTCACTTCCGTCGCCTTAATGAACTCCATTCACCACCTCCGAGATGTTCACCTACTCCTCTTCACCACCACCTCCGGCTCGTTTTCCGAAGGCCGCTAAAAATAGCGGCGAGGCGCGATTCATCCCCCGATTTAACGCGGGAGTCCAGCTTCTGAATCGCAAATCCCATTACCGACATCAATACGATTGAGAACTCGAGGAAGAAGTTCTCCCCGATCGAAGTCAACGCCCGGATAAGAATCCAATCTTCTTCGTTCATCTTCCGACCTCATTCATTCCTGACCTTTCGAAGGAAGAGAAAAAAATAAAGGAGTGGAGAGATCGAATATAAAGTCTCTCTTGATAATAAAAAAATAAAGCTCGGTACGCCGAACTTGTTTATTTTCAATCTGAGGGACATGCGAAGCTCCGTTCATGGTAAATCCTCCAGGAGTCGCCAAGTTTTATTTATTATTTTCCCCGGATTCAGAGCAAAGAAAACTAAATATAGCAGACCTAACGGGCCGGGGGCGGGTGACCTAGAGACGCCTCCACCCCTTCCCCGCCTCCACCCCCTCTCCTCGCCTCCACCCACGTTATTCCTCATCCTCTCTTCGTCTGTGATCGGTGAATCTCTCTGTCTCTCCTCTTCCCTCATCGAACATGCGAAGAGGTAAGACGTTCCGTTCTTATTAGTCGTTCTCGATGCGATTCTTCGTCTCGTCGGATCAGATGGATCATGATAATGGGGTTCCCAACAGACTCCTATCGAATAGGGAGATCGAAAAGGACAGTGATCCGATTGTCCCCTGATCTACTTTGCACGAGAGCTTGCCGGGTCTCGTTAATTTCCTCCGTCGGATATTCAGCGAGTCTTCCTCGTATGATGGGAGTTCCCCGAACGAAACGTTACCCGAGAACCCGTCGAGAAATAATTACGCCCTGGCGGATGCATGCGAGTCGCGATCGATGACGGAGCCGATGGTTACGTTGCCGATAACGAGGCGCAGCCTCCGAGGATTTTCCGCTTCTCTTTTAGCGTGTTTCAATAGCATGAAAGGGGTGGAAACGAACTTTGCTTTGTCATGCAGATGCTTCGCTTAACCTCGCGGAAAAGGCAGGGTATTCACGGGTGTCCTTTCCTCGCAGAACCCTTGGGAATGCTGGTGATCCTCGTCTTGACCTTGGCCTTGGCCTTGTCCGAGGGAAAGATCTCGGAGTCCGAAGATCCTGACCAGGCTCTGCAGTTCAGGGATACAAAGTCGTTGGACGTGAAGGATCTCAACTCCTTGGATAAGGGGCAGATGAATAGTTCCAGAAAGGCCAGGTGGGGTCGATCTCGCATATTTTAAATAATTTTTAATGATACAATATTAAATATAATCTATATTTTAATGATAATCATTTTAATTAGGATTTTATAACTTTCTTGTATCAGGTTACGCCAAATTTTCAATCAAGTTTTTATTTTCATTCTTAAGGCAATTTGGAGGATACGACACGGGATACGGCGACGAATACGAGCAATACGCGACCGCGAAGCCAGAATCGAAGAAGCTCCTGGCCCCCTTCTGGATCACGACCGCCTTCGCCATCGTCGTCGGCGTCGCCTCCTTCTTCCAGCTCAAGCTCCTGCTGCTGCAGCTCTTCATCAACTTTGTCGCGGGGTTCACCGGGCTCGGGGGTGGAGACAACAAGAACGACGGCAGGGTCTGCATCATTTTTCCTTCCCCAAATAGTATATATATATTTTTTTTTCTTTAAGAAAATAGTCGTGAGTCCGAATGGACGGCAAACAATAGCGAGACTAAAACTGAGGTTTTGTTTTGAAATTTGTGAGAATTCTCATGATGTACCTTTTCCGTTGTTTTCAATTGTTCTTGCCACGAATTTCCGTGATGCACTGCGCCAGTCGATAAATATCACGCGATGTCGCCTTTCAGCTGTCGGATCTGCTGAAGAAGCTGCTGCCGCTGCTGAAGGGACCGCTGTCGCTCCTGAGGGGAAAGGAAGGGGAGGGAGTGGACCTGCTGGGGAGCGCCCGCCGCTTCGCCGAGGAATACCACCTGGCCGAGAAGGCTCAGAGGGTCCTCGGGTACATCGAGGAGTTCCAGCGCAAGTACGCCTGAGTACTTCGGACCGGCATTCAGATTCTTCAGCCTTGGATTCGGATTTCTCAGAGATTGGATCTCGATTCTTCTGACTAGGATTCCGGGCGTCATTTCTCCGCCCATTTCGTTTCTTATTTATGGTGTCTCTTGTCTGTTTTCGATAAATTATGCTGCC